TTTCTTATCAATTTTTGACTTAATAATTTTTTTGCATTATTTACTATGCTAGTTATTAATTAATTAATTAATTAGCGCAGTGCAAGCCAATAAAAGAATGTGCGTAATTTGCTTATTGAAACATTTTAGTGTCAAAAAGTTTTTTTTATATGAATGCCTGTCATGTCATGTGTTGTTTGAGTGTGCTTTCTTCTGATATGTCAGGTCGAGAAGGCAAATAAATCTTTTTACAATGAATCATTTTAAATGCAAAAATAATTATTCTTGTTTTTACTTACTTTTAAACTTTGTTTTATAATTATTACCATTAAAAATATTGCATTTCTGCACAGAAATTACTTATAATTCAAAATATGCCATTAAGTAGTATTTGACGCTTTTAACTGCATTTTACGCTGATAAAAACAATACGAAATAAATACGTAATGGTAATATGCATGGAGTTCAGGTCACTGTACAATTAAGTTCAGTCTTAATCTATTCCACCACATCGTTTGATCTGGTGGAATAGATTAAGACTGAACTTAATTTGATACCATTTGATTGTTCGAAAACTTTTTGCAGATATTTGAATCATATTCATATGATAATTTTACAAGCAGATGCAAACATGCATTGTATGGTTATATGCTTGCAGAATGATAACAGTTGTAAAGGACATTCTATTGTGATAACCGTTCCAAAAACAAAAAACAAATCTGCAAGTAAACGTTTGGGCTGAATTGACGTGACGTGAAAAAAACGGGGTTTTGATGAAAAGGTCAAATTGAAGCAGACTTTTTTTCAACAGCAAAGGACACATTTTAAAATTGCTCACAAAACAGTACGTAGTGTAAAATTGCATAAAGTTTGCTGTTATCAATCAAATGCTTCAGTGATAAAACTCTTATCAGACTTTTCTATCCTGTTTATTGATCTGTTAATTTGTTTTCCAAATATGCACTAATTTAGATAATTTTATCATTTGCTTCTGCATTTTTAATCCCTACTTACTCATTTATCTCATTACCAAGTAATGAAAATCAATAAATTTCGCCTCATTATAAATAGATTCGGGATTTTCTTGAAGGTAGTCGATAGATGCGAGATAGAATCCCACCCACCGGACAGTATAAATTAGCAATGCTTTCAACTCCACCCATTGCTAGTAGCAAAACGAAAGAGTTAGTTTGTGAAGCTGTTCGGTCCATTACACAGTCACTTAGTCCGTAAGTCATGCGATCACCTCACGTGCGTTCCACTTATCTAAAAGTCAGTCTGTCAAGTGATAAGTTATAATGTCAGAATTTCATAAAAAACTATGATTAATTAATTGACTAAGTACTTTCTTCAAGTCTCATCTGATCAATCATAGCGTGAAAAGCTTCATAAGCAATGAACACGCATAAGTTGCTAGAGAATCCCTTCCGATCAGATCAAATAAGATATTTCTATTATCAAGTAATGAATTTTTGTCTAAAGCTTTTTCTGATAGTGCTAATAAAGCAAAAAGTTTTGTAATTATTTGACTTAACTGAATATAATTTTTACGCATAAAATGCTTTAATTATGCATGCCATTATTCATTAGCATTATTGCGTACTTTTCACTTTTTTATTAAAGTTAATTATATGATTGCAATTTGTTATTTTCTTTTTCAATTATTTCGAATGTAACTTTCGAGCAAAATATCCCAACAGTTATTATGCATTTTTATTTTTTCATTCAATTTTCTTCAAATTTATTATCGAATTCATAACTGATATTGTAAGCTAAGGAAGTGTAATACTCAGACACACAAAAGTGGAAGTTTATCTCCAATTTGTTGCCTAAGGAATAATTGCAGTCATTAATAATTTCTATTATAACTACTATCAAAGTAATATTAAGTTTTATTATTGTTGCTTGAACTAATATTATCACTGCCATAACAGTTATCACAAATTATTATCACTACCTTTACTTCACAAATTCCATTATTTATTACTATTAATTAATTAATTAGTATTATTTCTATACTGTTATTATTACTGTTGTTATTAATGGCAGCTATACATGTAGCGCTGTTTGAATCGTTATTGAGTAATGAATTAATTTTGTAGGAATGTTGTTACGGTTGTTTACTGTACTAACTTGATTTCCTTTGTGACTAATTTGATTTCCTTTGTGATAAGCAATTATCATTCTGAAAATGATTAGTAGGTATGAATTTTTTGGTCAGTTTGCATACGATTGTTAAACTCAAATTCACATTTACTTTAAAATTTCATTGCTAATTCAAATAATTGATCTGAGAACAATTGGCATTTAACAAATCGGAAGTTTCTTTTTATTAATGAAACTTTCAGAAATATCGCAAAATTCCAAAGAATTTAATGACTAATTCTCTTAAAGTTTTCCAAAAAAATATTACAAATTTTTTAAATTTATATTTAAACTAAAAATTTTAATTTTTAGAAATAATTTATATATTTTAATATATTACAAATAGTAATCACATTTGCACTGCCATTCGTTGAAAATATCAAAATATTTTCATTACAATTTATAATTACTATTTTAGATTAAGTATGAATGATAATAACAACGTTTTGATACGAAACAAATACTTTACTTTATGTTTTACAGTGTTCTAATCATAATCCGCGCATACTATTAAATCATTACAATTGCTCTTGTAAATTTTTGATCATTCTTTTAATGTAATTTACGCTAATTAATTATTTCTATTACGTCTTAAGCAAATAATACTTATTTTGCACATAAATTATTTTTTCAAGTCAAAATTTGATCAGAGCAAATTTCATTTTCAGGTGAAATTAGCAAAACTTTCGGGTTCATATAATTTAGCTAAAGTTAAATGCATAATTTTCGGTCAAATGCATTACTGATAAATTTTATTAATTCAATTATCCACTGACAAATTATTCATTGTATATGTTTGAATAGCTGAAATTTTTACTGGCCACTTTGGTGTTCTGTAATTTAAGAACAAATTAGCTGTTCTGTGTTCGATCTAATCAGATCAAATATATTCTCTTTTTATTTCTGATTTTAATTTTATAAATATTCACAATTCTGACTGCAAACAACTCAAAAATAAATACTGATTAATTGTCCATTAAGCAAAGGATCATCTACTGATAATATTTAAGAATACGTTGCATGCATTTGCTACACATCCTATTCCATGCATCAAATTCATCAGTACTCGCTATTCATAATTAATAATTATTTACTAATTTTAGTAATATTAATTTTACATGCTCAGCACGTCTACACGTTACGTTGTATGTGTAATACAAATCGTGGACCATCTGCATGCTTGGGAGATTTCTGTGATATACACAATCGAGATGGTAAACGTGCTGCATGTGGTGCTCTACGTCGATCCCGTCAAACTATTTTTTCATGCGTTTTTATACGCCAAAATTCTAATGACACTTACTGTCATGTAATAGGTAGTGTAACTGCATGTTGGTGTAGACAAATGGATTTCTGCAATGCCGATTTGGAAGCTGAATTATTTGATGTAGATGAAATTTCTGATGATAATGGATCTTCAAAAAATCTATCAGTTGATGACACAACATTTAACACGTCTGAGAGAGAAAAGGTGGGAAATGATGATACGGTACGAGAAGGATTGCAAAATGAGAAAGAAAACCTCGAGCATAAGTATTATACGATTAAAAATAATTTACAAAAAGAAAGAGAACCTTTATTAGTACCTGAAATCAAAGTAGTATCAATGTCATCCTTTCACAGTACTGTAAATACATCAACTCCTACTACTGGTGCTAGAATTCACGATGCTACAACGCGAAAGTCTACACTATCTGCAAGTACTACACGTTCAGTGAAGAAGAAGATTCAAGCAGCAGTGCAGATAGATGCTGCGGAACGCATTGAAGTCAAACCTGAAGGAAGAGAGCAACCGTCTCCAGTCGCTGCAGAACCCATGTTAGATAGCTATGAATACGATTTAAACGAAAAGTAAGTTTAATTTATTCCCAGTTTCAAGTTTAGGTTTGAGTTGTTTTCTTGAACTATTTGCCGGGAATAATACTAGAATATTTAAAAAGAATTAATTTCGAATGCAATTTATTTATATCCTTAAACAGTCATCAGTGATTTAAAAAGAACTGTTTGAATTTGATTGCAAAGAATGGAAGATTAAAAATACACGTATAATGATTAATCTTATTTTAATTTGTTAAAATCATCTAGTGCCAAGTTGAGAAAGTAACCGAAATAAGATCGAAATTTACATTTATCACAATTTCGTCTCCAGTAAAATGCAATTTTCATTTGTTCTTCAAAACTTTATTGGTTTCAATTTCAAATTTCAAATTTTGAGCTAAAAATGATCTATTATTAAATATTCTAACAGAAGAAAAAAACTCATTCCACTATTTTCACATGTTCAGGAACTTCAGAAGATTTAAATAGTTAAAGTTAGATACTTTAAATTTAATGGCAACTTAAATTGTTACTTTTTTGGTACTTGTAGATTTTCTTTCTTCAGAACAATATATATAGTTAGCTAGCTAGCTAGATAGATAGATAGATAGATAGATAGATAGATAGATAGATAGATAGATAGATAGGTAGATCTTTACAACGCAATAGGCATTACTTAAAAGAGTGAAGAAAATGTGTATTCTAAATACATATTTTAGAATATATCCGATATTTGCATAAATAGTAATCATTTCATTTGGTGATTTGTGCAACCAAATATTGTAGCAAAGCAATTAGATTTAAGTTTTAATTTTGGTAATATTTTAATTAAAATTTTATGTATATGTATATAAAATATTACTTAAATAATATATATACAATAGCATTTTACTAATTTCTATGAAAAAAGTTGCTTGGCTAAAAAGCTAAAAAATTTGTAAAAATTGCTCATTGTTTGGTTTGTAAGTAAATCTTTCAGCACACTCAATCCCATGTATTCTTTTTCCGGCAAAAATTCTTGGCTAATGAATTTTTGCTTTCCAGTAGCAAGGGGATTCATTCAATACTCAGTGCAAAATAAATACTACGCATTAATTTTGTTTATTTTAGCGAAATTTTCAATTTGTCTCCAGAATGTAGCAAGTTTTTAATTCCCGTACTTCATGCAGTGAAAATAAATAAGCAAACAAATCATTTATTAATTAATATTATTTTAGTGAAATTCAATTGTTTTACAATGCATGATGCGATAGTTAATTACTGGTTGGGCAAGTGAAAAGCACTCAGATAAATGTAATCTAATTAGTTGAATAAATATTATTTAAAATAGCAAACAAAGTAAGAGAATTCCTCTAATTAATAATAATAATTTAATTATGGATTAGTGTGAAAAACGAAAAAAAAATCCCAATCTACTTTGTTTTTAAAAATTTGTTATGTTTGCTTGGTGACAAATATAAGCTATGAACTGTTTTTGCTACCGGAAGTGTGCTCTTTCCTTCCTTAAATTGCTATCAGACTAAAACTGATACTTGTGCTTGTGCTAATTTATTTAATTAAAAAAAAATTATCATAAAATTAATTTATAAGTTATATTAGAAGTATAAAATATTAGTCTCTCACATCGAGAATTCATTATTTGCGCATTAACACCTATTACAAATTGTAGAATTTTATTTGCTCATTCACTTACTTATTGTTTGATTATTTACAGCGATCCTAAAATGAAACTTCCTTCTCAATTTCCTTCCTTTTATTCAAATTTTCATCAGTGATATTTGCAGTTGTATAGTTCTATCAATCAGAAGCCGAGAAGTTTACTTTTCTACTGCTTACATTGTACTCAATGAGATGAACTATTTTGGTAATTACTACTAAATTATTACCAAAAATATCGTTCAATACTATGACTGTGTTAAAAGTTCGAGTAATTTGAAATAAATCTTAGAACAATACAAACTTAACAAAAGTATATACTTTTTTGTTTGAAATTTTATATTTTTTGTAAAATGATTCATTTATTTGCTTTATTTTATCAGAATAGAAAGAAGTTTTAAACTTTATAATAAAAATAAGTTTAAAATTTTAAAATAAGCTTTAAATTTTATATAATTGACATTGAGAGTTGTGAAATAAAATTAGGAAGCACAGAAATACAAAATTTATTGCTAGCAAAAAAATCTTAGTAAATACTAAAAATATTAATCTGAAAAATTTATTTTTGTAGGAATTTAAATGGGCAAGTAAATGGTATTTTATTACTGTAAGGTAAGTATTACACAGTAACTTCTGGCAATTCTTGAAGAAATGCTTTTTGTTTCAATTTTTCTAATGCATTTGCTAATAATTTATTTTGCTGCGAACATTTTGCAATAAAAGCATAGTAGTAAAAGTCAAATAAATTTTATCACAAACTAATAGTATTTTGTTACAAAATGTTATTGCAATGTGAGCTTATTGTAATATTTATTATTAGTATTTGTGCAAACTTTAAAGCAACTTTTACAACAAAATTTGGCATCTCAAACATGAATTTGCAATATTTTTAAGACTGAGCAGATGACAAGCTTTTTTTGTTAATTTTAGCATGCAAATAGGTAAATACTGTTAATATTTCTGGCATTATTTTACGACTAATATTAAATTACCAATGGAAAATTCATACTTTCTTTACTTTTCAGAAATAATGCATTCCAATCACATTTTGTAAGTTAGAAAAGTTTTCAGCACATAAAAAGATATCTCTTGCAGACTTATGAAAGTTAAATTCATTTAAATATTGTGAGATTTAGTAAATAGCTTAAAAGCGGGAAAATACAATCTTATACAATTAGTTATTAAGCTCATTTTAATGTGCTTCGCAACTTAATTGCTACGTAATATGCAAATTTATTAACAATTTTATGTTTCATTAAAATGAACTTTATAAATGTTCTGTTCATATTGGGACTCAAATTCATAACGATGTAAAAATAATTTGACTTGTCTGTTAAAAGATTGATTTATAGATATTTGAATTTTTTTAAATTATGGAAAACATTGTAAATGAAAATACTTGAAAATCTTTTTAAAAATTTAAAAATATTTATTATCTCTTTTTTATTATTTCACATTTAGATGCTAGATCGGAATTTTACTCATTCAAATCATTTCAATGACTGAAATATTTTATTTTATGAATATTTTTTGAAAAGCCTCAGGTCAAAATTGTTTGAATGTACTGAATAATTCTTGAGATTCAATAAATATCAACTGATCAAATATTTTACTTATTTTCAGTCCATTTTTACCATTCTTTGAATTTGTTTTGATCAGTCAGTCTTATTTTTTGTTGATAAATTTGATCAAAACATTGCTGATAAAAACAATTTTATAAAATTTCTAATTTTATTGTAAAAATTTTTGAATGAATTTGTGATTGCAATTTTAAAAGACATTTTTACTAACTTTGCGAAGATTTTCATGAATTTCATGGTATTACTTTAAGTCTTACTCAAAATTGTTATGCATTCATTTACCTAAATAATCGAGATTATTATCAACTTTTTGTTACTGTTTGTTTTTTGATGATACCATATATAACATTTGCAATGATATATGTTGTATTATTTTGCATAATTAAGTTTTTATAACGATTTACTTCTTTTGATCGCTGTTTACGATACTTTTTAGTGAGCACATTTGGAAGAAAATACAAAAAATTAGCATATTTGAGCAATATCAGCGATTGATTTCTCGCTGCATATTTATAGCAATCAAAAATGAACACTAAAAGTGCGTTACTTTTTTTTTAACTTTTGAAAAAAGTTAAATCTGAGATTTTTTTATTTTTTATTTTCATTTCCGATATTTATAGGAATGTATGAGTACTATTCAACTAACTTTTTTATGCATTTTTTCTGTTTACCACTGGATTTATTCAAGAAAAAAGTGGGAAACTGTAAGAATAAACAAATAATGAACTGAGCAAAATGTTATAATATAAGTCCTGATAAATGAAACTACTTGGAAGTTTTATCATTGAATTTATAAATATTAAAAGTTATGACTTTTCAAATTAAAAATAAATAATAAATATAGCAGTAAACTTAATGATATTCAAAGAATAAACCCTTTCCCGCTACTTTGAATCGTTTCCAGCCTTTTTTATGCTCTATTAAAAGTTTATACTTCTGCTTTTCATGCTGCGCAGACTCATAAAATTTTCAACTGTTTATCGATTTATTACAATACTTTGTTTTTAAGAATATCATACTTCATATTAAATTATTATTATTTTATAATTTAATTTTAATTATTACTATTTTTTGATTTAATGGCGGGATTTAATAACATTATGCACAAAAATAGCTCTGTTTAATTATAGTAGCCTAAATTCGACGTTTTAAATTATTGCAAAAGTAAATCAAATCATACTTTTTTTAATATAAAAGCAGATAATTGCAGCACAAAAAATAAACTTTGAGTATAACTATATTAGTGATATGATAATCAGTCGAGGTGATAATATTTGAATATTAAGTCCCAGTCCTCCACAATATTCAATTGTGATTTAATTTATGAAAAAATATAAAATTATACAAAAATAACAAAATGTTATGGCGAATAATTCATTTGAAAATTGCTGTTTATATATAGCAATAAATTTTGCAAAACTATTTGCTAGAATAGCACTTAAAAATAATAAAATACACTAGCAATTTTTCATGACATCATATGGTTTTCAAAATTATTCAAATTTATCTTGAATATGTATTTCTAAAAAAGTGTTTGGATTTGCATATTGCGTGAAAAGATGACTTTTTCTTCGTGTTTGAAAAAATATAAATAAAAAAAAAAGAAATCTACTGCGTGTGCTCTGGCGTGTGCTGTGGTTGTACTATGGCGTGTACTATGGCGTGTACTATAGCGTGTACTATGGCGTGTACTATAACGTGCTCAAAAGAAAAGAGTCTAAGAAAAAACAACATTATCATAGCAATTTGATTTCGAATTTGTTCAGAAAATATTCAATAAAATTAAAGTATAGTCAATGAA